TTAAATCGCGCTTCTGTCGGCGCGCTGTTGTGGGCGCGCTGTTGTGGACACGCTTTTGACATCGCTGTTTTAGCGCCGCGGTGTTGTCAGCGCGCTTTTGACGTTCGCGGTTATGTCGTGCCACGCTAAATAATATCTACATCTGTTTTATTGACTACAAGAAGGACTTTGATTGTGCCAATCAGAACAAGCTATGAAGAACCCTAGAAGATCTAGGGGCACCAACACATTTGATTAATTGGTGCAGTCGCTAGATCTGGAAGCCTCTGCAAACATTGATTCAATATAGAAAAAAGGTGTGACAAGATTGCATACTTTCATCTTTCCTATTCAACTTATATGCTGAAGTAATCATAGAAAGCTAGAACTTAAAGAATCAAATTCGGTGTTAAGATTGAAGGAAGGGACATCAACAATCTTTGATATGCTCATGACACGAGTCTTCTCACAGAAACCAAAGAAGGCCAGAATCATCTGATTAAAGATGGAAATGAGAAATCTGGCCTCTTCCTGAACATCAAAAACACCAATCTCATGATCACTATAGGGAATAGATATGTCAAAAATAACAGTTGAGAGTGAAGAGATGCATGCAAGAATTCACTTTTTTAGGATTGCAGATTGATCAAAGCAAGGCATGCATTGGACATATAAAACCAGCCATATCACTGGAAGGAAAAAAAATCACAAAATTCTGGCTTACTTATTTCAGTCATGCCATGTAATCAAACTCACTGGAAAAGGCAGTTAGGCTTATAATGGTCAGGGGTAATGAAATGAGGTCATCAAAAAATAGTGGCTAGACACCATCAAATCTCACAGCCAGAGCACAAAAATATTGAAAAAAAGCTATGCAAGATCAAAAACTCTGGAAACAGCTGGTCCCTTGAATCAATGAGAATAAGACATGACTGAATAGAATCATCATCATCATGAGTGATCATCAGATTTTACTGTAAGTAGTACATTTGTGGCATCATGTCTTCTGTGCTGCTGTTGACGTTAAACATAACTCTAAACGCTTCTGCTATGGAGTAGAACGACAGCAGAATAAAAACTGAAAACTCCTTGCTGGACAATTACTTCACTTTTGCATATTTTTTCTACTGCTTCTCCTTAGAACAGAAAGCAGCAGGTAGAGTCACTTTTAGTACTGAGAACTTGAAAGTTTAGAACCTCCTCCCTTCAAAAATACACAGAAAAAAGTATGCCTTTTGCAAGGATGAAATGACCAAATTGTATTAAGCTGAAGAAACTATTGTATGTAGAAGTGTGGAGTTAAAAACATTATCCCTTTCCTGGAAATACCCCAATTTGACTCCAGTGACAATCCACCAACCATCGCACTTCTCACATGGTGAGAAAAGGATTTTCTTAGTCCATCGTTATATTAAAATATCTAAGAAAAAAAAAGATATCTGAAGCCCTTTTCATGGCGTTAACAAAAAGAAACAGGCTGACAGTTGTCCTAATCATTTGTCATAAAACTACGTTTCCCAGAAGCAGGAAAACAGGATTTCCTCACTCGCCGTATGCCAAACTACATTTCCCTTGTGCCACTGGGCAAGAAGGCTGCCTTGAAACAAGTGACTATCAAGTGGCTGTCTAATTGTCATGCTTACCTCACTTCCGGAGTAATTGGCACTTCTGTTGTCAAGTCAATTCGAGACTAGAGAGGTTGGATCCCTGTGGATTTCTGCTGCTTTCTCGATTCCAACTCTGTTATTATAGGGATGGCTCAACTTTTAAGCTGTTCCGTCCACCAGGCGGCTCTTCTCTTTCTTTCTTGGGAACATGTTATTTTTGGTCTTTAGTCTTGTTGTTTTCCATGTGTTGTTTTAGTAGTTGATGAAATGATGGGATTGAAATCCCTTTGGGAGAGGCATCTCTTTCCTTTAATCAGATCACACTATAAATCCTTAACATTTTTCAGTGATTTTCATGATTGATTGATTACACTACCATCTAGTCGTGATCAGATCCTAGCGAGTACATAGATAAGATTTCATAGATGAGTTTTTATGACACTGAAGCAATAAAAATGGGACTAATTAGAACTAACATACAGTGCAGTTTTAATCTGACTGTTAGTTGTATGGCAAACCCCAACTAGTTTTGAAAAGCCGAGCATGATTGTTCCGGATGACAATTTGGATGAAGAACCAAAACAAAATCTTAATGTTGTCAAAGAGGCTGTAAAGCTGGAAAACCTCAATTAGGAAACTATTTCTGTATTTTTGTCAAATCATCAGCAAGAATTTTAACTGGAACCTCAGAAACTAGAGCTGTACATTGAAAAGAGCAGCTATCCAATTGTAATTTAAGATCACGGTGTCTCTGTAGTTTATCTTTTAATAATAATATTAATAACAGATATGAACACACACTTTCAGTATGCATTCTCCATTGTACTATGTGCTACAAAAAGAATGACTTTTTGTTCAATGGTCATTACATTAGAAGGAGTTAGCATTATGAAGCAATCAAAGAGGTTTAGGCCCATATCATGGCTAAAAAAATGATTGGCCTCTTTGGGAAAGTATTGAGTATTTTGGCATTGAGATTCCAACTCTTAAAAACTATAATTGTAATTTAAATCCTGCTTATGAGCCCATGAAAAAAAATTAAATTTTCCTTCAAAAAGAAAAATACATTAGGAAATACAAATTTATTTGTATTAGGTGGAAGAAGAAAAGCCTGTAGCCATGGTACATGTCCGTCAGTTTCATGTTGGTAACAGCAAAATTCTCCATACGGGTAGACCTCAGCTTACAACAGTTCATTTAGTAACTGTTTAAAGTTAAAGTGGCACTGGAAAAAGTGACTTATGGCCGTTTTTCACACAACCATTGCAGCATCTTCATGATCATGTGATCAAAATTCAGATGTTTGCCAACTTGTTCACTATTCCAAGGTCATGTGACCACCTCTTGCAATCTTGTGAAATGCAAAATAAATGGGGAAGTCAAATTCACTTAACAATCATGTTACTAAGTGAACTGCAGTGATTAACTTAACAACTGTGGCAAGAAAAAGCATAAACCTGGGCAAAAATCACTTAACAAATTTTTTACTTAGCAACAAAAATTTTCAGCTACGTGTATGTGCAGAATCACATTAATAACAGTTCTATAGGTAGCCTCAAAGGAGAATAATTTTACAGTAGTTTTAGAGAGAACCAAGCAATCATTCCACATATTTCCATTCTTAGCTTTCTGTGAGTTTTTCTAGTGCAGAAAATCAGAATGCAAATATTTGAATGTTCATAGTCGATTAGAAAGAACTTGCCAAAAGTGTAAGTGGAATAATCATACTTTTTAGGCATATTAGACCAATACTAACTATAGTACAGTTTTTCAAAAGTTATACAGAATTAAAAACTCTTAAGTTACAACCATGGGACTACCAGACGCCAGAGATATTTCTTTTCATTCATATCGGTAGCAAAACTATACAAAAGTATGTTGGACCTTATAGAAGCTAGAAATATGATTTCTATATATATGATATTCTCTATCAAAAATAAAACGGAAGATTCTGCTCAAGACATTCCAAACAGTTTAATCTGCAAAGGAATCTTTTTTTGCAAATTCTTCAAAAGAGGCGACTGGATTTTGTTTTTTCTTTGAAGCTTCTTCTGCTCCAAATGCTTCCAGACGCCTAACGTCAGTCACGCGCATGCGAATAACTACTTCGAGGGTGAAGGTTCCTTCTCCGAGTTTGCGGGTTGGTTTCCGAACGTTTCGTTACCAAGCTGGCGAACATCTTCAGCAAACCTGGTAACGAAACCGGTATTTCAATCATTCCTTTTAAAAGCTCCAGCTTTGGAGCTCCTCGTTCCCTGAGTCGTGATTTATTAGCGGCGCAGTTCCGCCCCTTGTTCCGCCCCTTTACCCGAACGAATCCGTTCCCGTTTTTCGCCAAACCTAGCTTACTGCGCATGCCCGCAGGAGCGCTGGAAGGAAAGGAAGGAGGAAAGGGGACTGCGCGCGCGTCTACAGGCAGCAAGCTACCCAACCGGCGAGCCTGAGCGGGTTTGAGAACGCGCATGCGCGCCCTACTTACCGTGCTGGTGTTTCT